TTTCTTTCTTTCTTTCTTTCTTTCTTTCTTTCTTTCTTTCTTTCTTTCTTTCTTCTCTCCCTCTCCTTCCTTCCTTCCTTCCTTCCTTCCTTCCTTTTCTTCCTTCCTTTCTCTTTTCCTTATTTTTTTGAGGCAGGGTCTCTCTATGTAGCACAGGCTTGCTTGAGACACACAGAGATCCACCTGTCTCTGCCTCCTGAGTGGGAGGATTCAAAGTATACACCAGCATGCCAGGCAAAAATGGATATCAACATTAAACTGGATCAAGAGGGGAGAGAAAGAACATTTGCTGAGATTAGGTGCGGAGCCGTGACTGGGTTACTGGTGCAGGCCACATGTCAGACAGTAAGTGTGACTGGAGAGTTGCTTCGTGAGAAAGTGTGGAGTGTGATGGCTTGTGAAGCCTTGAGAGTTTTGATAGTGACTCAGTCTTGCCAGAGCATCAAGGAAGAAAATTATATACCTAGTCTCATACATATCCAAAGCTTTGCAGAGGTAGAAAATACAGTAGAGGCACAGATCTTACGGACCACAGGGAGCCTGGCAGGTAAGAGGGACAGACGCCTCTTGTTTTCCTGGTGTGTGTGCATGAGTGTGCAAGCACATGTTTGTAGGTCATAGTACAATCTCAGGAGTCCCTTCTCAGGCTCTGCACACTTTGTGCAGAGTACAGGCCTCTCACTGGCCCAGAACTCACCGAGTAGGCTAGGATGGTAGCCATTTGAGCCTGGGCCACTCCTCTGACCCTTCCTTGACATTGGTGGGTTACAAGTGTGTGACACAACCCTCGGCTTTTTAAAGTGTGGGTCCTGGGAATTGAACTTGGGTCATCATACTCGCAAGTCAAGCATTTTACTGACTGAGCCCTAACCCCTAGGGTTGACTATACTTTTAACTATAGAAGTGTGTTAATTGGTGTCATTTTGCACAACCTAATGGGGCCAAATGGATGGAGGAAACCCAGGTCTTGCCTGTGCTGATATGTGGTACTCCTCTACCCCCTCAATAGATAGCCCTGCCTGACCTCAAGTTTGCTAGTAGCTGAGGATGACCTTGAACTTCCAATCTTCTTTCCTTCTTTAGAGTGCTGAAATTATTGCCATGTGTCCCCAATTTATATGGTCCTCAAATTGCTAGGCAAGGACTCCACCGACTGGACCACATCCCAACGTTTAACTAGCTCTCCACATAGACTCAGTTTACTTCGCAAAATGCTTCCTGGGGGAATTCTGGATAAGCTGAACTCCGAGGAGATCATAATAATGAAAATGTATGGAGTAATTACTATGCTAGGCTCCACTCCCAGCGCTTCCTACATATTATAATTTCATCCCCAAAGCAACCCTACAAAATGTGAACACTTTGATTATCCCTATTTTATAGACGAGGGAACAGAGCTACAGGAAGGCTGGGTCACCTCCTCAGGGCTACACAGTTCGCGGACAGCAGAATCAGCCATCGGCTTCTTTAGGGTTGGTGGTGGAGCCTGCACGTTTCTCTAGTACGACAGCATTCGCTTTGGCTTCTTTTAGTTGTTACTGTTTTGAAACAGTCTTCCCCTGTAGTGCCAGTTGGCTCAGCGCTCACTGTGTAGAGCAGGCTGGCCTTGAACTCAGAGATCTGCTGGCCCCTGTGTCCTGAGTGCGACTGAGGGAGCGAGGATGGGCTCTCCTTGAGGTGCTCGTTCTCTCAGGTTTTAGTGTCCATTGATTCTGTAAAACATCTGTGTCCTGTTGAAACCTCGCTCAGTCCCGGCCAAAGCACAAGCACAGCAGGAGGCAGTGGTTTGCGAAAGGAAGAACACTTTATGCTTCTCTCAAATGCTTGGGCTTTAGCGAGACTAAATATAACCCCATACAAGTGTATTCAGAGCTAGGCATGACCTGTGATGAGTCCCAGCACTTGGGAGATGAAGGCAGGAAGATCAAGAGTTAAGGTCACCCTTGGTTACCTGGGTCTAGACTAGCCTGGGATACACAAAACTCTGTCTAAAGAGCAACAACAAAAATCAGTGTATGAAGAATTGCCCAGAGGAACCCCCAGGATGGGAAGTCTTTGTGAGCTAGAGCCCCTGGGGGCTCTTCTCTGCTCTGTGTCCTGATGGCTGGGCTGGCTTCAGGAAGGGGAAGAGGCTGGCAAGGTAAAAACCTAGGTGTAGGGGCACTTGGGCCATGGCCTCTCTCTTCTGGTGAGAAGACTTGGAAAACTTTATGGGGATGGAGACAGGATTCTTTGGGGACATGAGGAGGGGGGGGGGACCTTGAATACCAGAGCAAGGCTCTGGGTTTTCCTGTGCTTTGGGTTACCTCTTCTTCAGTCCACTGAGGTCAGATGCACTCCCTGCTTAATAAGAGTTTAAGCATACACCCCCTGCTGTGCAGGTGAGGGTACAGACAGTCTCCAGGTAGGAGGACTACAGGCATGTGTGCGTGTGTGTATGTATGTGTGTGTGCGCTGTGAAGACCACCTACTCCATGATCATTGTCGCATGAATAATAAAAACCCAGAGACAGATATTGGGGTTCAGTCTGAAGATCAGAGAAGCAAAGCAGCCAGCCACTGATTCTTACCTCTGCCTCAGACCAAAAATGGGCAAAATTCAGTCTCCATGAATTCTGAAGACTCCGCACCCCACACTGGTTGGCTGTTTTGCTTTTCTGATCTTCGGGTTGAACCTCAATATCTGTTTATGGGTTTTTATTATTCGTGCTGCAATCATCTTACAAATAAGAAAGTGAGATTCACTTAGACGACCTGGCTCTTGAGCCTAGGTATTTGGCTGTTGAATACAGGCCACTGCTGCGCTATTGGGGTCCTCAGGAGGAGAGCCCACGTGTGGAATAAATGAAGCTCTTAGCCTGATTAAATACCAGGTGAGTAGCCACTAGTGTGACGTTTGGTTAGAACAGATGTGGTGACCTAGCTTGTTTTGTGTTGATTTTCATCTCATACAGAGAGCTTGTAGCCATTCACCAGGACAGGGATGGGGAGCGGAAGGGATGAAGGTAGTAAAAGTTGTCTTATGTGTATTTATCACACACGGGGAGGGGCAAGCACATAAGGCACAGCAGGGTTTTGTATGTTGACCCCTGGCTTGTGTTGGGGAAGAAGAAGGTGAAGTAGGCAGACTGTAGGCAGCCATGACCCAGGTTACCACCTGGTGTGGCAGAACTCATTCATCTTTTTCTTTCCAGCTTTTCTTCCTTGGTATTACATGGCAGCGTGGGAGGGAGGGTGCCGTTCTTGAAAGATGCGCCGTGTAAGAACCAGAGTGCCTTTTGATTGGAAACCACCGTAGGCTGTTGACTGGCCCCTTTTCGGAAATCCTGTAATCTATCTCACACCGAGAAAGCAGAAAGCTTGGAAATGAATGCTTGCCAGTGCAGACTCAAGTCTGTTTTCACTTTAAAGACACACTTCACATCTCTAAAGGGCCGTAGCTGCTGCGTCTGAAGTTTGCCAGTGTCCACCAGGGCTGTGTTTCCACAGTCTCAGTAACGAGAAAAAAACATGCAGAAAAAGATCCAGGGAAGTCGTCTTGACGAGAGGACACAGCCTTGGCTGCATTTGCTGGCTGGTGTGCCGGGTCAGCAGGTC